ATAATTCACGTGTGCCACATGTTTCCAGTAAAATAAGCCTTGATCAAAATTTACATCAATTGTATTAATTCGTTCCCGTGAGAATTGAAGAGTTTTCGTAGCGTATTTCAACATACGCATAGTGTCGTATGAAAAATTAGTTCAACTTTATAAATATTTATATACGTGACTTTGTAAATGATCGAAACGGTAGTCTGCGGCGATCACAATGTTTTTTTTTGTTTTTTTTTTAATTTTCTCGTGCTAGATCGCGTGCGAACATCAAGAATCGACCGATCGTGACTCGGATATCAAACTACTCCCAAAATTGTCTCGACGTTCGCACGAAAAAAAAAAAAAACACCAAGCACATCGCGCGGGTTTTACTTTTTTTCCGCATCGGCTTTCACAAGGATCGTCGTATTTTCGCGAGCGCATTCCGATTACCGAGTGTGTGGAATCAACGCGGCAAACGCTGTAACGAGGATCGTCTACGTTCGGTAAAATAATCGCGCGATATCGCTAGTGGCAAATGCGCGCGTTCGCGTTTTTTCGCGGGTTGAAAATCCCGGGCGTCAAAAAAACCCGGACCGACCGTTTCTCGCGCGCGCGCACATTTACCGCGCTTTCTAGATCGTGCGATCGAAGCGGAAAACAAACAGCGAGTCGGTTTCGTGACTGAAAGTGTTATCTCGGGAGCGACTTTAATTAATTACAATGTCTCGTTTATATATGCACATCGCGATATGAATCTCACCGTTTACCCGGACTGTCGATCGAGTCGTCGAACGTCCATTTTTTTTTGTTTTTTTAATACAAAAACAAAATATAAAAAATTCTCGTAAACATTTATTGAAGTAAACAACCTCGACTTTTAAACATAGTTTTATATTTTCATATTTATCTGTGCGTGTGCACGCGCGCATGTGTGTACGTGTGCGTGTGTGTGCATGCGTGTGTTTTCGCACGTGCGCGCGTGCGTGAGATCATGAAAACACAAATCTATGTTAAATAATGAAAATAACCGGCTACTTTGTTGAGCGTGTGAACAACGAACGTGGAAATGAACCAATCGCAACTATCACCGATACACGCGTATATCAATCGACCAATCAAATGTTCGCTCGGTGTTTGTTCGCCAAGATGTGCACCGACTTTAAACTTGCCGTTTCGTTATTCGCGTTACAGTTCTTACGTGCTTGTCTTACGTCACGACGATCTGAAAAAACAATCGTTGTAAATAGCCGTGGATTAATTCGAAGATGATATCGTTATTATCGCCGGAGTCTGTGGCGGATTACGACGGCGATCTCGCGCGAATATGAACGGTCGCGCGAGTTCGCTCACCGTGAAACGATCTAATCGCCGCTTCCGGGACGCGATATTGGGTGCAAATTTATCGGCGCTTTCTAAGTCGGGCGCAGGTGCAAAGCCGACTTTGATTAACTCGATCGGCGATTCGTGACACGGTTAGATGACCGTGTCAAGGATGTCGATCGATCGAGTTGGTATACGCGCTGTGCTTTCATCGACTTGATATATCGTCACTCCCTACGTATAATCCCGTAACTCCAAAACGCAAATTTTAGAGGAGAGCAGTTTAAAAGGTTGAAGCTTCATATAGTTCCCCTAGTTAAGGGATCTTTCGGTTTTAAATTTTTATCATACTTATGAATATTTTTTTTTAATACTTGGTGACCACAAAGAACATGACTTTCTGAGTGTCACTATGCAATAAACTGAAAATTCCATATGTGACACTTATGTAATTATACGTAGGGAGTGACGATATAATTGTCGGTAATTGTTACTCGCAGTAAAAAAATACGAATAAGAAAGAGATCGTCGTAACAAACGTCGAAAGCACACCACGACACGTCAATTCGTGGGAGAAGAAAGAAATATCACGACTCTAAAGAGAACCTCGATGTAAGAAAACTTGACGCGGAACAGATTACAAAAAAAAAAAAAAAAACGCGGAACGTGCGATAGAACTGCGGAATGTGCGATAGTTCGTTAAATGAAGCGGTAACTAGATCTCGACAAAATTCTCGAAACAGTCCTTAATGCGAAACAATGCGAATTCCGGATGCAAATGCACGGAGAGAGAGAGAGAGAGATCCCGACGCGCGATAGAAACCGACAATGACTCGTAAACCGCAACATTTTAACCGAGCGCTTCCCCGAAGCGATCCACTTTTATGCCTCCCCCTTCCCCCCACGGCACGGAGGAGGAAGGGAGATAGATGCAATAAACATGTAGCGGATTGTTAGCGGAATCGTGCGGAAAAATCAAAACGTCCGGGCGAGGATTTAATCGCCAGATCAAAACTTATTGCGCTTTCTAAACGATAATAACCCACGCAACGCGAATGCTTTCGCGATAACGACTCGTGGCGCGCGCGAAGTCCTGTCTCGCCGATCGGCAAAGGTCGACGGACTCGGGAGAGTTGATTATGTATAATAAATTATTTATAACACGCACTTGTTTAAATTTACGTTCTTTTGGATAAAATATAATCAGTTTAAACGCGACAGATCGCAGACGTTTACCGCCGATTCTTCTTCTTCTTCATTATTTTCTTCTCTTTTGTTTTTTATTTTTTCTGATTGTTGTTGTTATTTTTTTGTTTATGTCACCGCTTCTCTTATTCGTCATTTTACTGTCATTATCGGCATTTCGTAACACGGCCTTGCGGACGCGCGCTGACTAAGCCCGCACAATGCAGATTCCCGGAGCGAGAAGCTCTGGGCTCGCCGAGGTCCTGTTTTTCTCCTTCACACGCGTGCGAGATCGCAGCCAAATGGCCTCGGACCTCTCTTGCGTTACACTTTTGCCACGCCCCGATCAGCGGGTAAGCTCATCGCGAAAGTGAAACGCAATAAAGGAGCCACGCCGAGCGAGAGTCCGCCGCGCGAAGGCGGAAGAGTGAGATGGAAAGACAGAGGAGAGAGGCAGATCGACAGGCTTGTCTGGTGGAGAGAGAGAGAGAGAGAGAGAGAGAGAGAAAAAAACACGAGACGCGAGAGAGGAGAAGATGGAAGATCATATCGATCGGAACCTCGAGGCCTGGAAATCGGTTTTCTCGCAGCATCCTGTAGTCAATGACTGCGAGAGAAAGAGAAACAGAGAGAGATATAAATATATATATATGTATATATATATATATATTTGCTCCGAATTTTCTTTCGAATTTACGCGTATCGACGTGAAGCAATGTAACAATCGCAATTGCGATCTTTTGTTATAAATAAATACGCGAACATTAATGGAAATTAGTATCGATAATTGTTTTTTGATTCTTAATTTCCGGGCAAGATTAATTCAAATCTCGCACAATTCTCTCCTATACGTATATTCATATATCATATAAACATAAATATATTAAAAATGTAATATATAAATATGTTATATTTTTAATAAAACATCATTATATAATATATTAAATATTCGTATAGTTTTATTATGTGTTAAATTAACCAAATTAAAAAGAAATTATAAACACATACGCGTGTGTGCATTTTTTAAATAAATATTCGAGGAAAAAGAACAGACTGTTTTTTTGTACTCGAGGAATGTTTCTCCAATCGTGTAATAAATTTTTCTTTACGACGACAGATTCTCGGTATTATATCTGCGATTTCGCATCCCCGTTTCTCCAATGGAAAACTTAATGATCCGAAGTGCGCAGAAGTGCGACGAGCTCTTCCGACGATTTCCTAACGCGCGACCGATCGACAGCAAAACCGGCGCGAGGATCCGCCCATCGATTTCTAAACACTATTTTATTATCGGCTTGCTCTCGGGGCCGATCACCCGACGACTCCGGCGCGGATTACGCTCGAAGGTGCTCGAGTTATCCGAGGCGCTGAAATTCACTTTCTAGGTCGTAAAATCGAGCAATTCCGCCGCCGTGGCAAATCGTCCCGATCGGTTTAAGCCGATTTTTTCCTACCATCAACTTCTCTCTTCTCGTTCGAGGTCGTGAACCTCTTCGACGCGCGACGCGATCATCGAACTCTTTTTTTTTTTTTTTGCACGTATTCCCGTCTCCGCAGATCTTAATCTCTAAAGCGGAATTTTACGCAGCCGGATCGTCGGTTCTTCGCGCAGACTCCGATTATATTATTCGATAATCTCGAAATTGGAATTCCGCAACTTTGCGCAGTGAATTCCGTCGCGCGAGAGGAATGCGTCGTGAAAGGTGGAAAAGCGTCGGGACGCGATCGAAAGGATTGCAACGGCCTTAATTACCCGGCCGCGCTTTTTTCCGTGTTATCCTTTCTTCTCTCCGCAAATTAGTCATGCGTTATGCCATCGTAATTTGCGGCGCGGCTTCACGTAACTTGAGAACAATGTCGATTTTATATAATTTTTTTTTGTTTTGTTTTGTTTGTCGGGCTCTCTTTTGCACCATTTGCGAATATCGCTCGTGCTGACCAGCTCGCGCAATTCGTTTTCGCTCGATATTAATGCGAGATTTTCTATCACAGCGATTTGAGTTCGCGAACGTGCGGAACGGTGGTGAATTCATGTATTATAATTCCCGACAGGTAAATATATATATATGTGTATAGGAATTGCGACAGCCTCTGCAAAGTGCAAATGAATCGTATCTCTTATGTATACACACATATTGTCGTTCCGCTCATACTTCTACAATTTGGCCTGAAGAATATAATATAATCGATAAAACGCATCTTACAAATTAGTACACATTGAGCTTGAGGGAACTGCAGAGAAGATATGAATTCGAGATAGAACCAAAAGGTTGCAACACGTACAAAAATTTGATTCGTATATGTATATATATATATATTTTTTTTTTTATTTATGTATAGGGAACTCTTTTCACGCAAAAGTTAAATGTTGTGATAAACATTAATTTTCACATCAAAACGCGTAATTTTATAAAATCGAACGTTTAATGTCACAGTTTATAAAATTAAACGAGATCGGAAACGTCAAAATTTTATACACTTTTGTTTATAAAATTTTTCAAATTGTTATAAACTTGAATTCATAAAAATTAAACGTTGAATTTTATAAAAAAAACGGTAGAAACGTATCTCATTCATATTTTCTCTTCAATTTGAAAGTCTTGTACAGCGAACTTTCCTTCTTATTTTTACTTCCGAATTTTGGTGGAATAATTGCGGCGATCGAGACACGCGCACACACACTGTCTTCGTTTCTATGACTTTCCGGCTCACTTAACAAAAAAAGCACGCGTTTTACAACTAAAATTATCTCTGATATTTGTAACGTACAAGGTAATTATTTTATTTAGCTTAGATATTATATTAAGGCTTTTTTTTTATATATCGATCCGATATTCGGATCGGATTCTTCAGGACCAAAGGACGATACGCGTCCTAGGAGTTAGGCACATGTTTTTTCTGGAAGGCACCACGTTCTAATTTTCAATGTGTTTCATTTCGTATCAGATCAGAACTCTGTACAGCTATCGATTAAGTGCTCGGTCATAACGATCGAGGAACAAATTCGAACATAAACGTAGTCTATTGTAATATTATACTATAAATCTCTATTGTAAAAAAACCGATTCGATTATTTCGCTCGCCATCTTGAGCAAAAGATTCTTCGTTGTTTTCTCGAGAAACGACTTACCTTCTCGTTGTTTTTTCCTCTCTTATTGATTACTCGTTTTCTAGTCTAAGAAGTTTTATGACGAATGATAATTTATTTCAGGCACGCTATAATAGTTTCACGCCCGCGCGCGCGTGTCAAATCTAACATCACTATAAATAAACAAACAAAAAAAAATAATGTAACGAGTCATGGAATCTCTCTCGTACAGAGTTGAAAGAAATTTCTCAAAAATTGTTGCTTTAATTCCGATCAATTAAACAAAGAATAATTTTTTCAAAATTCTTTCGTTCTCAGTCATTTCTGTTGATTAAAAATTAAAGTTAATCAAAATCTCTTTTCTCGCGCTTTAATAACAAATCGAATCTGTTTTACTTTTTTGAGACTGTAAACTATAGTCGGCAGCTGATACCGCAGCTGATTTACCCATCGTTCCGGAACTCAGGTGTTGTTGCCGGGAGAGACCGGTGGCGAGTTGGCTTCCCTTTGCTCCTCCTGAACGCTCTCGGGTCTGCTGGTGGTGCTGCTCGACCTCGAGCTGAGGTTGTCCCGGTCGCTGAAGTACGACGAGTCGCGTTTCTCCTCCAACTGGAGCTGCTGCTTGTCGCTCCTGTAGTCATCGGCGCCGTGGCCCAGCAAACCCGGGAAGTACGGTATGCTCTGCCGCTGAGACGTGATCTTGCCCATGAAGCTGCGAATCTCCTCGGTGAGAAAGTAGGAATCTTCGGTTCTCGGGAGTTGACCGGGATACCTGGATCTGACCTCGTCAAGTATCGTCGGCCCGTCGGCGTCGTGCTTCTTCAGATGTCGGTCCAGATTGGTCTGCTGGCCGAAACATCTCTCGCATAGCGGACACTTGAAGGGCTTCTCCTTGTTGTGAATGTTTCTGACGTGACGTTGAAGGTTGCTCGAAATGCTGAAGCTTCTCTCGCAATATTTGCACTTGTACGGCTGCTCGCCGGTGTGCGTCCTTAAATGGCGCGTCAGATTCGCCGACCTGGGGAAGACCTTCCCGCAGAACTTGCAGGAGTACTTGTCCTTAGCCTTGATCTTGAACACATCTTGAGCGTTACCTTGAACGCTGATCGAATACGGCGACAGACTCGTGCCTTGTTGCTGCGGATGTTGCTGTTGTTGCGAGGGATGATTCGGTTGCTGATGCTGGGACTGCGAACTGCCCGCCGGACTTGTGGCTCTCGCAGTTGGCTGCGACGAAGAGGACGAGGACGTGGACGACGAGGTCGTCGAGGAGAATCTGCTGGAGGGTAACGGCACCATCGTGGGTAACGCCCTGACCTGAATCTTCGGCAAATCGGGCACGGACGAGGCGTGATGATGCGGTCTGTACATCTCCAGGACCAGCGGATGCACCGCGTGATGCTGAGGAAAAAGCACCGTATGATAAGGCAGACCGCCACCCAAGCTGTTCTGATTCAGCACCTCGATCTCGTTCTGATTCTCGTCCCGGAGACGCTCTTTCTTGTGATCGACGCGGAGATCGAGTGGCTCGGCATCGAGCTCGTCCTGATGATGCGTCTGGGGCGGCCGGGCCGCAGGGCTCATGTGCGGCTGCTGCTGATGTTGATTCATCGGGCTCGACAGGCCGCGGCCGTGACCGTGGCTCAGGTCGTACGGCAGCTCCTCGACGTCCGGCACGCGGACGCTCAGAGGATAAATGCTGGCTTGCTTCGGGCTTATGTGGCCCGGCATCTTCCTCGGACTCGAATCCTTCTCCCGCATGGCTGGAGGATATTTCAAGTCGCGCAGCAACGTCGGGGACAGGGTGATGCTACCGGAGTATCCGCTCATCACACTGCCTCTGTCACTCGGTCGTGCGCCTTCGCTCCGCCCGGGATGATCTGCAACATGGAATTTAGCACGCGCGTTTTTTTATAGAATTACATCATTGCGTAACACACAATTTAACGTAAGGTTATTAACAAATTTACAAACCTCAATTTACAAACGCGTTTTTTATTTGTTAAAAAAATCATTACAAAGTTCGCGCATCAGCAGCCACGTTTGTGTTCTCGTCTTCTAAAAAAAAACTTATACGAATTTAGACGTGATATCTTAATCGAGGAACAAAATGACGGGACGAAATGTGTAGTTGAGCAAGACGTACGTGGCGTTAAATAAATATTAGGGTCGCGTCCGCGCGACCGGTTACAACACTCGAAACGTCCGTCAAAGTAATTGAATACACCAATCCGTGGCATCGCCGTAAGATGGACACAACTGATTATTAGAGATACGTATCGGGTAACATAGACCGTTTGACGAGTCTCGCCGCCTGCGCTTCATAAATCAAAAACTCGTGATGTTCGATTTTATTTCTTGCCCGCACGCGATAGAACCAGATTACGGTTTCGTCCGAAAGAACATTAGAAAACGACGCGATTTGAAAACATTACAGTGAAAGGATCTCTCCACTACCTCCCGCCCCCTCTCACTCTTTCGATCAATCATCGTAGCCGATAGAGGCGCGAAAGAAGCGAGCAGCGATAGACAAGGAGAGAAAGTGAAACAGAGAGAAGGGTAGAAGAGAGGAAACGCAGTAGGACTCGATAAATCAAGGCATCAATCGCGTCGTGATAAATGTGTCTTCGACCCGAGGCTACGCGTCGAGGATTTTAGAAGCCGAAGAAATCGATCTCGGCCGGGCACAAATCAAACTGCTCGCATTTTTACCACTTGACGTCAGACGTCGGGAATGGATGAAGAAAAAAAAACAAAAAAAAAACAAAAAACCCAGAGACGAAGTAGAAACACCTGCCAGGTAGGTAGGTAAGATGTGTCTATCGGATGAGAGTTTCGCGGGCGAGCACCTTTCATATGCCCCGCGCTTCTCTCCCCCGTAAAACCGTTCCTCATCGCCGTTTTCAGTTTGCGGCGGGACACGTGCTTCCGGGCTCCTCGGCGCGGTGCCCGCTAATTGACAGAATTTTATTAATGGAGCGCGATCGAACGCGCAATTAGTTCTCCGCACTCTATGGGATTTTTGTGATTCGCTCATCAGCGCGAGCAGATATATATATGTAATATATTTTCTATGATATTTCTTCCGCGAATCGACGAAGTAACGACGATATCTGTAACGATCTGACGGGATCCGGTGTGTGTTTGATTGTTTCTCCCCGACCGGGCGATTTAGTTCGATAGAATTCGATCGATTCGTTGGGTAACGCTTTCGTAACGAAAGGCAGATGTGTGAACGTAACATAAATCGAACAATCGTAATTTTTCAAAGAGAAAAAATAGAGAGATACGAAAATTACTTTCCGAAGAAAAAAAAGAACACGTAAACACATGTTTACATCTGAAGAAAGAAAAATATTCGCTTGAATTATTTTATTACGCGCCTCATCGTCGATTGTCGTAACAATTCGATCGTCGGAAAATGACGCCGCGTTGAGATCACCGCCTTTGCGCGCGTTGCGGGCGTTGATGTCTCTATCCGCGGTTGGCGGGAGAAGGCGAGAGTGTATACAATATAATTTTATCTCCTGCAATCGCGACGCGCACCGCGTCTCTCACACACGTGCCGCCGAGCTAAACGCAGAAATGCGATAAGTTTTATATCGCGCATAAATTTATTATTATCGCCGTGTGTGTTTCATAGTTGATTTTTCTTTAAAAAAATAGCAGTGGAAATATGAAAATAATAGCAATGCGAAACTTAATGCGAAAAATTGATATAATCCGATACAAACGTTCTACGCAAAAGCTGTTTTCGTAGCGTCGATTAATCGCGCGATCATTTAACGGACGCTGCAGTTATTCGCGGGTGTAAAACACGCTCGAGATCGCGAGATCATCGTTCGGCCGATCGACGGCTCCGCCCGTGTGTACCGTTGTGCCCGTTGCCGCGGACTGATCCAGTTACAGAGCAGAAACTAATCCTCGTCTCTGGATCGTCGTCCACTACGGCGAAAGAGAAATCCGCTCGCTATGTTGTCAGCGCGGGAAGGCGAGACGGAAAAAGAGCGCGCGGCGTAAAAGGAGCGGACTTCTCGGCGGCGGTTCTCGCAAAAAACCAACGCTCGCGTCCGACGATAATAGTGAAAAGCGTTAATTATGGGCGTCGCGAGCGTAGAGATGCCTTCGCGCGCGACTTAACCGGACGAAGTCGAAAGTGTGTAACGAGCGACGAGACGCGTCAGACGGACGTTGTTGTTGTTGTTGTTGTTGTCGTCGTCGTCGTCGATTTTTCTGTCTCGCGTACACACGTCGTCGCGCGCTCATACGTATCCGAAGAAAGTGATAGTAGTAGAGCGTGTGTCGTCCGGCGAGAGATGCGGTCGATTAAGCTCGATTTACATGTACTTTCCCTTGTTTCCCGTAATAATACTCCTGGCCTGGAGAGAAACTTTCGCGAACACAAAAACGCAGACGCGTAAGTAACGCCCTACTGTCGAATTTCGGAAGCCGAAACCCGGTGATTTGCTTGGAGAACACGTCGGCCGGGTTCTCCTCCCTCCTCGTTCGCGTGAAAACATTGAATTAACTTTCAAGCAAGGTAATTTAATATTCCAATTACGGCAGATTTATAGAATTCCGAAATTAAAAAAGTCTCGTATATTGACAGAGAAACGAACGCGTGAAAGAATAAGAATATGAAAATTATATGCCCCTGTCGGAGAGGGTGTGTGTGTGTTATTGATTTTCGTTCGGCACGTAAACACGTCGCAACGTTAATCGTGCACACATTTTTGCGTCCCGAGAGGACGCACGCATCGCGGATTCTTTCTCTCCGCTCGGAAACAGAGTTTCTCCGAGCGACTCGAGTGAGTAATGTCCACCGGTGGCCAGTTACGGGAGGAAGAAATAAGAAGAGCGAGAGAAGAGAAGGAAAGGGGAGCGGCGTGTGTGGAGAGACGACTGACGTTTGTTACGTGAATCAACCCGAGGACTGACACGTCTCTCTCGAGATCTGCTCGAGATGTTGGCAGGCGGTCGCGATCCAGTTTTCGGTTTCTAGAAAGTTCGGGATGAGTCGGGCGTGGTTATATGTACCTCTTTTTCCCGTCCGTCTCTTTCTCTCTCTCTCTCTCCCTCCATCCCTCGCTCTTTCTCTCCCGCTGTACATTGCGCGCGCGCGCGCGTCCTTGCAGGTATGATTTCTCTGCCGAGACATTCACCTACGTGCACGATAAGTGCCTCCGCAGGGCCGCATGTATCTTCTTCCTCGGTACGCGTCACGCCCTATCAACCGCGTCCGAGATAGATACGATCTCAATTCGCGACATCTCTCCAAGCAGAATTTCGCATCGCGACGTCGAATTGTCTGACTCATTTGTAAATTTCTCGAATTAAAATCGTAATATTCAAATTAAGTCTATCATCGATCGACGTATCGAGTGTAAGTTGTTCCGTAATTTGCGTATTCGATATGTCTTTGCGCGCGCAAGTTTTTAATTGTATTGACACTCTTAATCGATCTCGCGATAATTGCGCGCTCCGCGACACAACGTTGTCTGTCTGCGTGAAACGCGCAAAATGAACACGTATTTTCACTTTAATTAATTCCCGCGTGTAACGCGATAAACGTCCGGTCATGTAACGCATATTTATCCACCACTTGTTATCCAAACGAGACACGTCCCTGGTCCGCTTGTCCGGGCCGAGAAGAAGATTTTAATCGGCCCCCTTTTTTTTTCCTCGCGCGTGATGACGCAATTCCTCTTTCTTCGGTCGCAAAAGAAAAAAAAACGAGAGCGCAACCGAAAAAAAGAAGGAAGCGTGCCAATTTCCTTCGCGTGCATAATACACGGGTTCCTTAATGCGCTTCTTTGACGGCAATCATCGAGGCTCTTCTCTCTTGTAACATAATAAAACAAATTATACTCGAGTATTGTGCGGAGAGACCTTAAAAGCTTCGCCGGTCCGGTTCGCTTCATTTTTCTCTCCTTTTCCCCCGCTACGTATGCAAGATGTTTGCCAACTCCGTCACACAATGTCATTAAATCAACAACCTTCTCAGAGAAATACGACGGAATAATATAATTTCGCATTCGCGCGCATTCATCGTTCTCTCTTTGATGTATTATAAAATACATCGAGTTGTTTTCGCTCGTACGTTATATTTTTCGCACAACATGTGTCTCTCTCGCGGGCTTTCGGAAACACCTTTCTCATAAAGAAATTTACGCACCTTGCGTTGCGCGCAATATATTTTGCGTTATACATGCAACACGCACGCACGCACGCACGCACGCACGCACGCACGCGAACGTCACTTGTACTTGCTCCGAAATTTACAGTCCGTCCAACGAATTCGTCACTCGTTACCCTAACGAGATAAATTACGCGTTTACGAGACCGCGCACGTGATTTCAGTCGGCCGTTTCTTTTCGGGCTCTGACACAGTTTCTCTCCGCTTCAACTTCTTCTTCTTCTTTTTTTTTTTTTTTTTTTTACATGCTCTAAAGAGGAATTAAAAAGAATGGAGTGAGAGAGAAAATAAAAGAACGTATCGATCCGCGTGTGTCCTTCTCTCCATTCCGTTATATTGAAACGTCGCCTCACGATCGCGCTTGCCGATAAAAGCCCGCCACGACGTGCCGGCATTTAATTACAAATGTGCGCCG